CAAATATTGCATATGTAAAGAAAGTAGGGGTGTATTTAGTATATTTAAGCTTGAGAGTATCTTTGCGACCGCATTCAGAAGCGAGTTAAGGTTTTTGTATGGAAATGTAATGAGCGTCTTTCTCCTTTTGGTTTATTGTGGTGCACAGGAGTCCGTGTTGGGGGCGTGACTGTGGCGTGACACGCGTGACTATAGTCCTGTGATCAGCCACTCATGTGAACTTTGGTGCCTCGTGGCGAACACAGACAAATTTGACGACACGTTGTAAAGCTAAAACCGAACTGAACATTAAAAGTTTTGTTGTAGTTTGAGCCCGAAGCCCTCTGATTTTATTGTCATCGGAACTCAACAAATACAACTGCTTGGAATACTGTTATGTTTCGAAAGATTCCTAATGCTGCTTTTGCAATTTCTTAGGATGAGTACAATCAGATATGATTTTGAAATGAAACTTCTCGGACGAAACTTCATATCTGTTTTTGTCATATAGAGAGATATTAAACCGTTAAAACTTGTTTAAAAGAATTTTGATGCCAAGTTGAAGTCGTTATTTTTCGCAACGAAAGTTCGTAGGTACTTCAACCTCTCCTCTCCAGGATCCATTCGGCTGTCGTTTCCAAGATGGCGGCCACGTTTGCGCGGCGTGCGGCCGCCATCTTGAATGTAGACGCCCGAGGGCATGTTATCAATAGGGCCAATTTCGATATATGAAAATTCAGCCTAACACAAAAGGCCTTAGCACGAGTCTCCGGGAAATAACTACAGGGTTTGTGTTGTTTATTCCGGGGAAAAGTTACAGAGTTAGTGGGGTTTATTCCCCGGGGCCTCGTGCTGAGGTCTATTGTTGTAGACTGAATTTTAATATATCGAAACTGGGCTATTAGTATAGGAGAGTCTTTTTGTATAGAGACTTAATCATTTTTATAGCGATTGGGAATAACCAACAGATTCATGATAATAAAGAACTCTTTTATTTGACTTGTTTAATTAGTTGTATTTCTGCATTTAAATTGCATTTGTATTTGGATAACCTAAATCAACACGTCAATAAGAGAGCATAGATATGCTGTTGATTCCGTTCAACTTATTTACTCTTAAAACGAGGAAAGTCATTTCGCAATTTCAGAGTTTGCTTTTTGTCTGTGTTTTCGAGACGAGACATGAAAATGAGTTTGATTTGGAACAGCTAATTGAAGAATGGAATAGAATAGATAACTTTATTTATACAGGGTAAGAAAAAAAACATCAGGCCTTTGTTCCGCTCAAAGCTCGAACGGACTCTAGTCCACCTCGCATTATTGTAGCCGTTCCGATCTTCCAGAATTGGCTACACATTCATGACAATAAGCATTTGCTTGAAACCCACTTTTCCCTGTGAAGTTCTTTCATCGGGCCTCGTTTCGAAACAAATAACATGACCGCTGTTGTCAAGGTTACGGAATTACAGGCGATAACTTGACGTACACGGCAGCAAACAACTATTCATGGGCCATCCATTGCAAATTACGTCTTAATACAATGGAAGGCGAGTATCACTATTGGAACAGTAAAAATATGTTTATCTACGTCCTCTTTTAGAGGGTTTTTCAAAGCTCTACGTCATATGAAGTCTTTTATAGTGAAAATGCTTAACGTTTAGTTTAAAATTAGAAAAAAATGAGCAATTTGTCTCTCTCCTCCGTTTTGAATAAAGATTACAAATTATCCTCTTTGAGAATGCCACGCGGTCAGTAAAGCCAGCAATATTCAAATTTATACTGATACAATTGATACGATTTTTTGCAACCTTTTGAATAAGATTATTTTTGCGACAATGGACGAATAACAATTTGGTCTAAATTTGTCCCTCGCTCATAAAAAAAAAATTATTTGTGGTTTTTATGTTAAGCCGACCCGATTAATAATTGTTCTCAAGAATTTCTAGATCTATGGGCGAAATTCTGTTCAAATATGACAAATTTTCCCGTAGCCAAGGATTCGACTGCTCCTTTGCAAAGTCAACATCAGGAAACGAACAGCCAGATCTACTTCCAGCAGGCATATGGACGAGTGTACTGCAGTCACTCTTTGATCGACACCGTGTTCGGCATTTTAGTTCGTGTTTTTCGCTAAGCATCGACAGAAATGACAAACTTTTTCTTCTAGATTTTGCGCCATCCTCGAAACTCTTCGGGAAGTTCTGTTCACCCGGAAAATCTGTTGAATTCCAAGGTAATAAGAAGCTTTCTCTCGTTGGAGACAACGACAAATCGCTACCACTTGAATGCGCATCTTCCTCTTCTTTTCCTTCGCCGTGGCCAAACATCTCATCTTGAATTTCAATACTGTTGTCCAAACCTTCGTTCGTTTCCTCAGCAGAATAGTAGCTGTCGGGAATTCCACTCACTTCGTTACTTCTAACAGAAATTCCGCTTGCTGTTTCGAATCTTCCAACGTCGCTTTCATCCCGTGCTTCTGAAGCTGTCTCTTTTCGTCTCTGCGCTTTACTTGTTCCATTTCGTTCCAAATTTTTAGCCTCACTGACGTGGCTTTCAATTTCCGTGCCCGCTCGGCGTCTCTTGCTGAATGTCACCACTTCGCTTTTCAGGCTTTTTCGTCCTCGAAGAACCGCTATATGAGAATCGTTCTCACTCATATCAACCCTCGGGAAACAGCGAGGAAGCAGTATACCAAAAATTTGGCGATAGCCCTGACGAAATTCCTTGGTTCGCAGCGCGTAGATCAAGGGATTCATGGCGGAGTTTAAGAAACCCAGCCAGTAGGCCACAACGGAAAAGTGCTTGGACAATTCATGTCCTGCAAGGGTTGCGTAAATCGTGAGAACAGAAAACGGACTCCAGCAGGCCAAGAAAGCCGCCAGGATTATGAAAAGAGTTACGGTGATCCTTCTCTCGTTCAAGAAAGCCGATTTTTGGTCGTCGCTGAAGGAGTGGCTTTTGACGCGTTTGGTGTGAATCTTCACAGTACGGAAAATCTTTAAGTACGAGAAGTTCATTATTCCAAGCGGAATCACAAAGCCGCAAATTATGATAAACAGGCAGTTTGTTAACTCGCTGACCTCGCTATTACGGGGGACTTTGACAGAACACTGCGTACGGCCCGGAATGTGCTCGTACTCATTCCAGCCCAGAATCGGTGTCAACGCCGTCATTAGCGCCTGCACCCAAACCCAGGCGACTGCCATGATCGTCCTCTTTCTAGTGAATATTTTCCGCTTCGTGGGCTGCACAACCCCGATGTACTTGTGGATGCTAATTGCAGTCAGTGTCAAAATGGACGTCAGCAAAAAGAACACGTTTAGAAAACCGTTTAACTGGCACAGCGCATTGCTAAAAATCCACTCTTGAGTCACAGCTGTTATCATAGAGAACGGCATGCACAAGAGCGCCACGAAAATATCCGTCAAGCTTAAATTGACGATGAAAATGTGAGTTTCTGTGCGACGAAGCTCGCGTCGGCGATACACCACCGCGATAACTAGAAAATTTCCAATGATTGCGACCAACATGACAAGGAACAAGATTGTTGCTTCCAGAATTCCAATCCATGCCGGATCTATTTCATTACCAGAATGAGATACATTGGCCGCGGAATCTCTGGTGTTGTTGTTGGCCATGTTGACTACTCCTTTGTCAATGTAGTCCTGTAAATCGTGAAGATTTTGCACTTAATTTGCGTCACATGTCAACGTTAAATTAATTTTCGAGGCTGACACTTAACTGAACAGTCTATGTAGACGCAATTGGTCCTACACTCAGTCCCTTTTGTTCGCGTGACAACCAAGTAGTTTGAACACGCTACACAAGGGGAGTTTTGTTTGCGCTGTCGGCCTAATGTAATAACTTTTGTGTGGGATGAGCGTTCCACGAGTTGTCAATCAAATCTGTGTAAATACTCGATGAAAAGAGACCGGTGGGGTTCTATGCAAATGATTGAGTTAAAAACTAAACATTGCTAGTGTAGAAATGAAATCGTTCGAAAGAAACGTAATCCTTGAATCGATTGTTTAACAATCACAGCGGGCAGATCCAGATAGAACTCACTGACAGCAGCTGATGTCGTCCATTTCATCGTGTATACCACGCAAAGAGGGAGCCAAATTGTTGTGGAGGTGCTAATTAATGTCAATTCACATCAACTGCCAGCGATTCATCTTTTTGCATGCATCTGAGCCATTTTCGAAGATAACGTTTTTATTTTCGTCTGTCTTGTTATTTGCGGGCGAAATAAATTAAAAGAAAAATCCCACGAAAGCCGATCGTTACTAATTTCCCGAATTTCCTTTCCAAACGATAAGTGCTTTATCGATTTAACTGGTAAAGATTTTCATTTCAGTTATTCTATGGCCCAAGAGCACAGCTGCTTGGCAATTATCTTGTAAAACACCCGCGTTTCTCATTTCCTGGGGCCTTATTACATTGTACAGCGGGCAATACAACAAGATATTTTGCCCCACCCACTTGACGGGTCTTGCTAATCATAATTCCCGACATGTATTATAGAACACAAACAAATATCAAAAAAGAAATGTTTCAACGTTACTATTATATACTGATGAGAATATGCCTTTTTAGAAATAAAGAAAAGAGAAGACTAACATTTCTAAAATTAAAGGCTTAAACATCTAAAAATGACAGCCTAATAAACCAAGGAAGTTAGACTTGAAGACGAGAATGTTCCAAAATCAAACAGAGACAAAATTTCTATGCTGTAATCAATTTAGATTCTTGAAAAATAAAGAGAAAGGCAAAAAAAATATGATATTTTATCACAATGCCAATTAAAACAAGAAAAAAGAAAAAAAAAGAAAACGTTTTGAAATATCACTCGGAATGTCTCTATAAGAAATTAAATGTTTCCAGGCAATGTCAAGTTTGTACGGATAATTTGATTTCCGGAATCCATGTTTGTCTTACATGTATCGTGAAGATATAGCACTGGGCCGCGATCAAGCGGGTAATGCTGTGGCACGCTCGATTGTTTATTGATAAATATCTTGATGCGTTCGCGTGAAAAACCGGCTTATTCTCGGTCGGCTTATTCTCGTTAATAATTTATTAACATAAGAGCGCGGGAAAAGAAGTATTAGCCAGATCACAGGATTCATTAGTGTGGGATAAAAAGAGCAATAACCCTGTATGCATTTTCAGATTAATGCTAAAAATGTATCAGTTCCGCGAAAATAATCTTCACTGAAATTGAAATAGTCCATAACAAGGTAGAAGAACAACCGACTAGTAGTATTGGCTTCAGAAGATAGAGACGGAAATTAACTGAGAGAATCAGCTTCGTTCACCTGGCTTGTACCATGAGGTGCACCTCGTTATATTTTGCAAATAATGTACACTTCTTGGTCGTATTGCCAAATATTGAAGACACAACAAATTTGATTTGCCTGAATCTGATGAGTAGAGAAATGTGTTTGTAATCAATTTAAATTCCACCAATTTGGGCAACTTTTAATTTTTAATCTCTCAAATACAAATCCAGCACTTTTACTGATTCTAGTGGGGAGGAGGGTAAGGTAAAAAAAGGATAAGTCTGCATATGTGCCAAGTGACCCATCAGGGCTGCGCTTATCTCCGTTTTCGGTAGCATGAAGCGACTAGGAGTATGTCTACGCCCCCTGGTTCATCGCAAGGTTAACCCCAGCATTAAGTGCACCGGTACCCATTTACATTCCTGGGTAAAGAGAGGGACAGTAAGAATAAAGTATCTTGTCCAACGCAATGTCCCCGGCCAGGGCTCGACCCTCTCTGGCCAGAAAAAGGGCAAAAAAAGAGAGAGAGAGAGAGAGAGAGAGAGAGACAGAGAGAGAGAGACAGAGAGACAGAGAGACAGAGAGACAGAGAGACAGAGAGACAGAGAGACAGAGAGACAGAGAGACAGAGAGACAGAGAGACAG